CCGGGGACCCGAGGACCCCGGGGCCCCTCCTCGGAGACGCCGGCTGGTTCGAACCGGCACAGGTTCCAGGTTTGGGAACCTCCGGCTTGAATCCAGACGCGCATCGCTATGAAGACAAAAGACTCACCCCCTTCCTCCACGCTTCCTAAAGGTCACCCCGAATGTATGCCCGCCGGGGGGCCGTCCGCAAAAGCACGAGTAATGCTGGAGGCTTCCTCCTAGAGCAGTCTTTTCAAAAGGACTCCAACCTCTGCTCCTGGGTCCTGAATGAGCAGGAACCTCAAAAAAAAAGTACGTCCGCAAGGCCCGTGCAGCCCCATCTAAATGCATGTTCATGCGGACTGGGCATTCAGTTCGCTGGAAGGGGAGCCCAGACAACATGGCCAAAGCCACTTGTAAACGCATCTTGGAGCCACACGGGGTGGGGACGGGACAATTACAGAAGGTATTCCTCCTTGTGCTGAGCTCTTACACATTATCCATCGGTTCTCAACCTGTGGGTCGCGACCCCTTTGGCGGTCGAATGACCCTTTCCCAGGGGTCGCCTAAGACCATCCTGCATATCAGATATTTACATTATGATTCATAACAGTAGCAACATTAGTTATGAAATAGCAACGAAAATAATTTTATGGTTGGGCCACAAAATGAGGAACTGTATTTAAAGGGCCAGAAGGTTGAGAACCACTGCGAGCTCAGAGGAAGAAGTAGCAGTGATGATGAAACATGACCCTGAGCGATCCTGCTGCTAACCTGCCTCCTGCTAAAGCCCAGTCAGTCAGCCCAAGACCAGCAGGAAGAAGTCAGCGATCCACTAAGGTCAGCTTTATTTGTAAATAAACCGGGAGGAAGGACCGTGCAGGGGAAGCGTGGGTACCACGGGGAAAGGCAGAGGAAGCGCCTTCTGTGAGGTTTCGGTTCCCGCCGAGGGAGGGGAGGGTCTAGGGAGAGCGGGGATCCGGATTGGACGCCGTTCCCGAGGCGCGATTGGGAAAAGCGGGCCGGAAGCGGGGATTGGGTGCGGTGCCCAGCAATAAGCGACAATAGCCACGGGGGCCTGGGTGTCATTAATTACAGCAAAACTGCTCACAGAAGACGCGGCAGCGCGAATACAAGGTTCCCGGTTAACTCTGCAGCCCGCTTTCTCTGTGCCTGTCCGGTCGCTGCTGCTTGTTCTCAGTCCAGTCAGAACTGATGCTCCTTCTTTAGGTCCTGGCCCAAACCAAGAATTCTGGTTGGGATTCTTGCACCCATGATGCCGAACTGGACAGGATCCGGGTTCTGCCTTGGGAGCTCCAAACTGCTTTCAGACGCACCTTACCATGAACGGAAGTTATTTTCACGTCAACAGTTCAAATGACATCTTGTCCTTATGCCCCGCATTTGCTGGAAATAGAGAAAAGATGGGGGCACAGAAAGGAAACAGTAGAAAAGTTGGGCGATGGGACAGAGGAGGTGTTGAGTGATGGAGGGGTGAAGAAACTAGGCATGAAGAACAGGAAAGAGAGTGTCAGGGGTCCCCATGGATTAGGAATATTGGGGCAAAGGTACGATGAAGAGATTTAAAAAAAAAAACAACCACGAAGATGTTTAGCCTTCTCAGTGATCCTAGGTTCATGGAGGTCCTAAATGGGAGGACGAAGGGCCAAATTCACCCAGCAAAAATGTTTCCTTTGGCCCACATGGTAGTTTTCCAAATATATTTTAAGTAGATGCCAAAATTCAATAAATCAAGAGATTTTACCTTAAAATCTAGATTTCTAGTTTATCTGGAAAAGAGGTAAGTGTCCAAGGCCTCTCTTCATTCTGTATATGGGAGCAGTTGCTCCTGTTAAGCACCAGTGTTCCATCATTTCACTGCTCCTTGGCGAGACAGGCTGTGCCTCTCTTAAAGGGATGAGAATGCTCTTCAGTTATTTTTAAGCCTCTCCTAGATAATTTTAAAGTTTCTCTTCAGGCACGCCTCAAAGAGCTCCACTCCGCACTGGTGTGAAGAACCCAGCCCCAAGCCAGACCCTGTGTGCTCCCTTAATGCAGCTCCTTCCCTTTTTATTCTCCCTCCACCTTGTTTTCACTAAACTTCTTCTTCTGAATCTGTTTTGCCTCCTCTCTTGATTGCTATCTTGAAGGGGTGCCAAGAACCTCTTTGCCGGTGACATTGGTAATAACTCAAGGCGTGGCCATGCCAGGCAATGCCACTAAGTTTTACTCTTTGCCTTTTGACCCGAACCCTCTGCAATGTTCTAGGGCCAAAGCCCAAAGGAACCCCTGCGCACCTCCCGGTTGGGACATGGGAGGACTATGTGAGAAAGGCTCAATTGAGCAAGCTTGAGACCCTTCTTTCAACTAAGACAATGATCAATGAAAGCACTTCCTATATGCATCTGCACTTTTTTTCTTCCTGGGAAGAGAATCCACAGCTTTCATCATATTTTTAAGGGGTTATTGATCCAAAAAAGGAACATTTGAAATGTAAAGTCCCCATTTTTAGAAGTATTACCTCCTTTTACATTAATAAAAATTTACACTGGGGATTTTTACTATATTTTATTATTTAAATGACTAGAGGCCTAGTGCATGAAATTCGTGCACGGGTAGGGTCTCTAAGCCTGGCCAGGGATCAGGGCCAATCTGTGGGGCGCCATCAGGGCAATCGGGGCCCCTGCTCACACCTGCCTTGGCCTGGAGCCACCCCTTCACCTACTCCACCATCCCACCATGGTCCCACTCTCATTAGGGCCCATCAGGGCCGGCAGTGCCTCCACTGCCACCTACTACCAGCACCACGTCACCGGCACCCTCCATGTTCCATGCCGCTCCCTGGTGGTCAGCGCACGTCTAACCCCCAGTTGGTCGAACTCCTGCCCATGGAGACAATTTGCATATTAGACTTTTATTATATAGGATATTAATTTATATGAGTGGTTTGTAAATTATAATCCCCATAAGAACAGGAATACCAAGCCTATACAAAATACCATATTACTTTCTCAACTAGTTATTCCATAATTATTTGTTAAATGAATGAATAATTAATGAAGGTAAGAAAAAAGGAAAACATATCTGAGCCTCTATATAGACAAAATTTCAGATAATTTATTTCCCCTAGGGAAAAAAAGATAATGTTATACCAACTTTCTGAGGATTCAAATAGTATGTTTGGTTTAAAATAGATAATGATCCAAAGTATTTCATTTGCATCCCTCCTCCTCCCAACAGCCTCCCCCCGACACTTCATCCCCGCCCCCCCAGCACCAACCATTCTTTGTTCTTTTCTGCCGGTGCTATAGCGAACTACTCACCAAGGACTTCCTCTCCTGGGCTACGTTGGCCAAGTTGGCTGCAGTTTGGGTTTGGCTGATGGGAGGCACTGGAAGAAGAAATAGGTCAGAGTGATTCTTCCCAGTCCCCCTCTGGTTTGACAAAGCATCTCTGTCAGCAGCTTCATCCTCAGACTACAGTGCCTACCTAGTGGCCCCTGTTCTGTAGGTCCAGCTGTCAGCGGGCGCTCCTCCCCATGTCCCCTCAGCCAGAGGGTATTGCTAGTCTCTGGGTGGCCACCATCCCTTGCTTGTTCCCTTAAACCTACACACTTCACTCTAAGTAGTACTTTCACTAACATTTTTTCCTTTGTCATGTGGAGGGAATTCTATTTCCTGGAGGGGCCTGACTAATACACATTCTAGGTGCCAGTCACTGTTCTAAATACTTCATGTACATTATTTCATTTAATCCTCATATGCAGCCTACGAGGTAAGTACGATTAGCATCTCCCTTTTACAGGTTTGTTAACCATTTATAGTGAGTGTACAAGATGGTTGCATGGGATTGTACTAGGAAGTCTGTATAGAACCACATGTTAGGAAGTTTGCAAACAACCTTAGATGCATTAACAATCCCTGAAATCAAATATGTAGACAACAGCTAATAAGCTATTAGATTGAGATATAATAGTTGATTAAGTATCATGACTGGATATGACTATTGTTGCCATAAAATTACTTCTTTGATCCAATGTCAAATACACTATTAGCTTTTCTATGACAATTCAGCAGTCCCAGGAAAGTGTTTTTATAACTGATCATCTACATAGTACTTATAATTAATCACAACTTTAAGAGAAGATGAAGTTAATTCTTATTGAAAATAAATCATAGTGGTCAGTGGGGAAAAAAGGGGATATCTGTAATACTTTCAACAATAAAGCCGAAACCGGTTTGGCTCAGTGGATAGAGCGTCGGCCTGCGGACTGTAAGGTCCCGGGTTCGATTCCGGTCAAGGGCATGTACCTGGGTTGCGGGCACATCCCCAGTAGGAGATGTGCAGAAGGCAGCTAATCGATGTTTCTCTCTAAACGATGTTTCCAACTCTCTATCCTTCTCACCTCCTCTCTGT